GGGGGGGAATGCAAGAGTTGGTTTATCAGCTGAGTTGGTAAGGTAGATAGATGGCCATCTTAGGGGGATTTAGAGACTCGTTTTGAAATCGGCTGCTAGACAAGAGTATGGTATTTTGGCAAATAAATTTTCTGTCTTTTTAACCATTTTCGGTCAAAAGGGGTAGGGGTACTAATTTAAAGAGAGCGGTTGTTTGAAGAAGGCGGCTTTTTTAGACACCTAAGCGAAACGACTGAGATGACTAATCACATGGGAGTTCCCCCACCGTTGCCTCGGAGCCAAGAGAATGGGCATTTTTTTTCCGGCCCCCTCCTTTCTTTCTCGCTGTTTTAATAGAGGGGATATAACAAGTTTAGTCTCGTCATTTCTCGACAGTGTACAGTATAGCTATGAAATGACCATCCAAACGTACAACACAAACTGAAACATAACGCTTACTACAGTCTCAGTCAAAATTGTTGGGACACTTAACTGTCATTTTCCCCTGTGCAAGATTTGGTGAGTTCACTGCGGTAAACAACATTGAGAGGACGAGGAGACGGGCCAGAAGTCAAAAAACAGCGTAAGGTGGAAGTGTCCCCAATATTTTTGTCTGAGACTGTAGTTCTTGTTTCCGTTCACTGTTGTTTACTTCAGCTCAAGGTTACTTGAAGTAGTAAGTATTGTTGATTGTTTTGTTTTCACAGTGAAAACGTTAGCGGTAAAAGGAATGAGCCTCGGAGAAGAGTTATTCAGTGGCTTACACGCGACCAAAAAATAACACTGGTAAAGACTGTCTTTTCCCTTAGAACTGTGCGTTTTACCACCCACGTTCAAACTTCTCACGACAAACGAGGTTGCAAGTTGCGAGAATACTGACTTCTGGATGTAATTATCCGGTTGTCACGCCTTATACGGGCGTTTTGTCACTTGCTGCAGAACAAGTTTGCCTTGGGCAAGCGCAACATGTACAAATTTTCTTGCAAAAAAAGTACTTCTCTCTGCTTTCTGCAACAACTCTTCGCAACCTGGAACAACCTGATTTGTTGCAAGAGAGGTTTGAACCCGGGTGGTAAAACGCGCAACATCACTTTTCAATTCGTTCTGCAACAATGTTGCAAAACAAAGGACACGTCTTGGTTGCCTCTTTTACAGTTCTTTAAGCATTTGTTTCATTCAGCTTTGTTCCTAGTCGTCCTCGGCGAGTTTGGATGTGACGTCACCCGTCAACTTTCTTTCGCTCGCTCACATAGTGCGAACTAACCTACGGACGAGGCTGGGTTTCTTATTTTCCCTTGCCACTCCTACTAGGTTATCATGTATTCCCGCCCTTGCTACCAATTGCACGTCTGCACGTGTTTGGTTTTGCAGACTTTTCCGTTGTACGCTTGACGCTACAGACTTTCCCTCGCGTGCCACCGGTAAGGTGCTTTCTCATACTTGGCAACGATTTTCGTGCTTTCCCATGACTGTTTTTTTGAATCTGCCTTAAGTGTGCTTGTTTGTATGAAAGGATTTTCACAACAACTGCTCCCAAACTTTCTCTTTTGCTGCACTAAAGATTGATGTAGTTACAAGTAAGGTAGTTATTATTGGTCTTCAATGCGCATGCACGGAAATGTAATTAACCCACTTATTTTGCGGAGGGAAGGAAAAAAACAAGGCAAGAGCATTGTTTAGTAACTCTGAGAGGTTCTATTTTGCAGTTGAAAACAGTTTGCTCAAATCTTCGCGCCTTCGGTGTGCGAGGTCATATTGGAGTGTTTGGTCTTCATTACGAAGCGGATAACAGCCGACTCTACGTAGTATGCGCCAAGCACGTCACAGAATCACAGTTGGTGAATGAATTCTCAGTATTTCGCGCTGCTCAAGTTAAATTGAATATCGACTTTAATGGCTTGTCGAAGGTATATATTTTTAGTACTTTTTGCTTTACCGATGCTCAATGGTTTCTCTCGAGTCATTGGTCCATTCTTACAGCGACCGAGGCAAAGGATTTTCCCAAAGATTTCTGAATAATTTCGAAGTTTTTCTAGGAGAGATTGAAATTGTTTTCATTTTTGACCAACGCCTGGTGTTGTAGTGATCCACGTACTAAATATTTTCCACAAATTCTCAAAGTTCTGATTCACTAGCTTTCCAGATTATTTGTATCTTAGTTTACACAAAGATGATTGCTGTAAGTTAAGGTCTTCAGTAGCCCCAACTATCAGAATTCCTACTAATGAAAGCAAACTTTTCAGGACTTGGCTGCCTGAGCTTGAACCACCTACCTGCTGAGGTCAGGAATATAACGTTCCTTGTCAAGCTGTTTTTCTATTTTAGGGTTGTGCCTTTGTTCAGTTTCCAAACGGAAAGTGTGCTGAAAAAGCCATCAAAGAGCTTCATGGAAAGGTAACCAAGCGAGATACATAACGATAATGACAAAAAAGATGCCTTATTAGTAAACCTTGTAAGTAGCCTGAGAAAACAGCCGACATTTCGCGACGCCACCAATGGTTACCCCGCCAGATGATGTCTGAGAAAAGAGAGCAGAAATTCAATACTGGTGACATGTCAGATCTGGGTATTACTTCTGATTGGTTGCACGAGAGAAATTTGCCTCATCCAATCAGAAGCACTTTCCAGATCCACGTCTGGGTAGTGGCACGTCTTCAATATAGAATTTCTGCGCTCGTTCCTCGGAAGTCATTTCGGCTCTCAGACGACATTTCGGTGTCGTCGCAAAATGTCGTCTGTTTTGCCCTGTGGACGAGGTTGGTCTGTTTCCTAGGCGACTCCGTGAGTAACGATGAGAATTAACCCCCAAAGGCTACTAATCTCGAAAAACAGAAGACGCTGCTCGGGAGGTAGACTGCGAGCAGTCTCTCTTTTTCTTCAGATTTAGTAAGAGGAATGCACGCGCGCGAGCGTTGAGCGGCGAAGCCGCGAGACGCCCTGCGTGTCTCGGGCGATTTGCTCGACGGACCAAGAAAAAAGAGAGACTGCTCGTAGTCTACTCGGGAAGCGAAATTCGTGCCAACGTACTCACCGCTGCACTTGAGGACTCACTAGGGAGCTTAAGAAACAACGACGGCGACGGCAACAAGAACGGCAAAAAAGTAATAGGTTGAAAAGGCAAAACAGCAACTTTGCACGTGATCACGTTTTTTTGTACATTTATTTGCCGTCACTACACGACAACGACGTGAAACTGCCTAATTTCACCTTTTGTGGAGGACGTAAACACAAGAAAACGACAAAATAATCATAGTGGAATAAGAGCAATGAGTTTTGAAATAGCGCAAATTCACTTTTTATGGAGCGTTTTCGCCCCGTCTTTGTCGTCGTCGCTTAAACTCCCTACTGTTGACTACAAGCTGACACTACCTCTTTTGATTGGCACTTTGGTGCGCTCGCAGAAACTACATAGACTGCAAACAAGCTCTTCACTTTATTGGGCGTATCGTAACTTGCGAACAGGGCTTCAGGTAACGTGGTTGTGTGCTAAAAGCGGGTATGTCGACTTCTCTTCTCGAGACGACTACAGCTCCTACAGCTCCTTAAATACTCCCCCTCCATCCTCCCCACAGCGAACGCGATTGGAGAGCTTGCTTACAGTCTACGCAAAATACAAGGACAATGCTTTCGTCAAGAACTCGGTATTCCCCCTGTTTGATAAAGATAAAACTACTTTATGGCCTTCTCTTCGTTTCTCACAAACGAATACTTCACCATGCCTCGTGGTATTTCAGGAAAAGTGTAACGTTTGTTAACATTACAATCGCGTCACGCAATATTTTCATCACTCTGACTGGAAACAGGGGGCGTGGTGTCAGTTTTAAAGCAAAAAATATATGAGATCCATATTTGCAAAATTAGAAGTGAATGTTACTCTGTTGGTCAGTGACTGTTGCAGATGGAGTGGCTCCTAAAATAAAATAGCCTTTGTTGGTGCAATACCGAGTTTCAAATTGCGTTACATTTGATCATACTTGCTCACCGCCTTGGTTCCTTCACTTATGGCGTGCTTGGAAAGTTCTCCGGGCAGCAGCAGTTTGACAGTGGTCTGAATTTCACGGGAGGATAAAGTTGATCTCTTGCTGTAGAGAGCCAGGCGTGAAGCTTCAAAGGCAATGCGCTCGAAACTGTCGTTGACGAACGAGTTCATCATGCCCATGGCTTTCCTGGAGATGCTAGTGTCCGGATGAACTTGCTTTAGTACTTTGTAGATATACAGACCGTAGCTTTCTCTACGTTTTCTCTGCTTTCTCTTTTTCTTGTCGCTCGACGAAGTCTTTTCGTCGATTTTCTTTGGGCTGTTCTGGTCTTCGTCTGTTGAAGAAGGCATGATAAGTATCTGGGAGACCCGGGAGACAAGTGAATGTGGATACTAGTCTGTTCGCGCGCGTTGTTTTTGTACCGATTTCAGCCCAGCATGACAAAAAACGCGGATCGAAATCCTCGCATTCTGATTGGCGAACGCGATCTTAGCAGTAGGGGATTTTCTTTAAAAAGTACGCTAGACTTGCGCTATCCTTGTGTACCACACGGGAACCACACGGGCATCCAACGACTTATTTCTATAAAATAACTGTACGAAGGAGCAAATATTGCCTAATTCTAAAGCTCAAGACAGGCCTAAATTTCTGGATGACTGAGTCATTCGTCTAATATATTCAGAGTTTTCCTACAATTTTCGTTTTTTTTATGCATCTTTACATCAGACAAGCCAATTTCACCACCACCCCTTGTTTTGAAATCGTACATTTTTATTTTGCTAACTTCCAAGGCAGTATAGACAAAATACCCATTTGAAAAAAGAGTGCAAATGCGCAAGAGTCTTGTCAATGAAATTGCTTGTCTTACGTAAAAATGCAAAAGGAAGATTGTTTTAAATCTCTGGCCATTTCATTTCCAGCAAGAAGGTCCCATGGATAGTTAGGAATGACTTTTATCAGAAGCATAAATTATATGCTTCTGTCCCTATCCATACAATCATTCAAAAATTAATCACTTTTGTGAATTACAGGTTGTTGGTGGTATGCCCATGAAAGTGATGATAGCTGAGCCAAAGGTTCGCAAAGGGTCAAGGACAAAGAAGAGCAGTTCACACATGTGAGAGGACTGGAC